CTTCCACTCTGTGAATCTGTGACATTGGCTGAAATCTCCAAGCTAGCACTGTCCCACTTCCTCAGTCTCTGAATCATGGAATGATTCAGGTTGGAGGGGATCTCTGCATGTCCAATTTCTTCACTGAAGAAACATCAGCTTCGCAGCTGCATCAGGTTGCTCAGAGCCTTGTCCATTTAAGTTTTCAGTATCTTTAAGGATGGAGATCCCACAGCCTCTCTCTTCCTTGCTCTTTTTCACTCTTAGTGCAGAAAGTTTTTGGTTTTTTTTTTTATGCCCAAGCAGAACTTCCTGTGCCCAAATGTAGTCTCTCAGATGCTAAATAGGGGTGAAGATGCTAAATAGCAGTGAATAACCACTTTCTTTGTCCTGCTGGCTTTGTTTGTGTTCAGCTTGCTCCTGAGGACCCCAAGGTTTCTGTCAGTCCATTTCTGTAGCCTGCTGAGATGCCTCTGGCAAGCGGCCCTGCTCTTCAGTGCATTGACCAGACCCCAGCAAGTCATTGTCATACACAAGCAGGATATGGGCACATCCCATCTTGTTGTGGATAGTCGTTGATTGAGATGTTAAGTGGTGTTGGCCCTAATATTGGCCACCAAGTAGCTCTGCTAGTAACTGAGTATCAGTTGAACATTGAACTGTTGAGCAATTCTCTGTGGGGCCAGCTGCCCCGCCAGTTATATACCCACCTTATGGTCCACCTGTACAGTCCATATCACCCAAATTTTGCTTCAAGGAGCCTACAGGAGAGCATGTTAGAAGCTGACTGCATCAAGGAAGGAAACATCTCTGTCTTCCCTTGATCACTGAGTCTGTCATACCTTCACAGAAGGCAGGCAGGTTGGCCAGACGTGCAGCGTAGCAAGATGCCGATGTGTCTGTGCCACATCTTGTTCCATCAGGCTTGTGTGGAGCCAGGATGGTTGTCCCTGCCTGTTTACCTGCTACTCTGCAGGTCTGTCACTAGGTGAGCGAGGGGTGACAGTTCCAAATAACAGATCCTTTGTCCTTTCTGCTAATAGCTGCTCCTCTCCCATCAACACAAAGGAAAGTGCCAGCTTTTGGTACAGAGTGGGTGTTGGCAGGGTTGGCATGGGGAAGTGACCCCTCCTTTCATGTTGCAGTCTGACAGGGTGTGTGCGCTAATTGCTGCCATCTTCTTCCCCTGACAGAGTTCAGCCCATGCCAGGCCACTGTCTTGATGCTGTACAGAAATCAGGCTCTCCAGAAGGAAGTTGGGGCAGGGCAACGCTGTGGTGTCATCTTGGACAGGACTAACTTCTATGCAGAGCAGGGCGGGCAAGCCTCTGACCAAGGCTACATGATACGTTTAGGACAGCAGGTAGGACCCGTTGCTGCCTTACCCGAAGGCAGACATGGATACTGAGGCTAGGCTGACTTCCCCAGGTGACGGGCTGTTTTACTGTGTCCATTTGCAAGCTGCTGACTCTTGACAGTTCCTTTGGCTTTGTGTCAGGGGTGGTGGGGTGAGGGGGAAGCAGCAGTAACCTCATAGAGGTGTACTTGATGTACTTTCTGCTCAGGTTACCTCTCAGCCCTCTATAATTTCATCTTGCTGGGGAAGCCTGTAAAGTCTCCCTGGTTCTCCCTTGAGTGTGCTGTGCTCTCGCCAGCTGGGGCTGCAGTGCAGAGAGAAGGCAATCAACGATTGCAGAGTCCATGAGCTGAGTAACTTATCTCTGTCCAGTCCTGGGTGACTGCAAGCAGTGCCCAAGAGATCCAGTGCAAAAACTCTTATCCCTCCCAGAAGCATCAAGGAGGATCTCCACCTCTGCATCATGATCCTTCAAGCTTGCCAGAGGGAGACCTTTGACCCTCTCTGAGGAAGTTGCATGGGGTGCAGCTTTTCTTCCCTTCCACATTCCAGCTCTTGAGAATCTCCCCTGGGCACTTCCCTTCCCTGCAGAATGTGACAGTGCCTTCCTCAGCACTCCTCCCAAAGCTGAAGCAGGGATCAAGTTTCCCTTGCCAGCCCAGTGAGGCAGAAATGGCACCTTGGATGCCTGAGATGGGTGTCTTGGCAGCTGCTGTCCATTTTCTTATGGACAAGCATCCTTGTTAGGAAAATTCATCACCACGGGTGGTGTTGCTGCCCCTCCACTGCAAGCTGGCAGCCTCAACACGTTGTGCAGCTGGTGGCTGGGTGCCAGGAAGGTCTGAGGTACTCTGGTTACATTTGCAGTAAGCTTGCCTGGGCTTTTCCTACCCCATCCCTGTCTTTTTAGGGATCAGTGGGGGCTGTGTTACCCAGTCAGATCAAGCAGGCACTTAGCATAGGTATTTGGATGTTCCCTGTGTCCTAATGTCTTTCTGTCTCTCTTTGCTCAGGATATACTCTTCCCCGTAGAGTCAGTTCATCTCTCTGGTGGTTACGTGGTCCATGAGGTCACTGCTGTGGAAACCCTGCGTGCTGGGGACCAAGTACAGCTCTTCGTGGATGAGGTGATAACTCACTGCTCTCAGCTTTCTCCTAGCCTTGCTGTGAGAGTCTTGCAATGTCCCAAGTAATCTGGGCACAGCAGAGCCTCGTCTCTTACGTGCCTGAGACTGCTCTTCATGGTGATGTACAGTGGGAAGGAGACCTCACAAGCAACTCTGCAATCTTCTGTGAGCCATTGGTCTGTCCAGGAGTATCCAGCCTACCCTTTGCTGTTTTGCGGAGGTGATCCCATGGGAAAAGATCATCTGCCCTGTGACATAAATTAGTCTGACAGCTATGCTACCCATTGTTTTTTCTCCCATCTTCTCCCACCCTCTGGCATGCAGCCTTTCCCTTCTCTCTCCGTGCCATCCCCTGCTCCCCTGAGCTGTGGAGAACCAGTGCTCCCTGCCAACTTGTCTGCGCTTTCAGGCCCAGCGGCTGGCCTGCATGACGAACCACACCGCTACCCACCTGCTCAACTTTGCGCTCCGCCACGTCCTGGGGAACAGCATGGAACAACGAGGGTCCCATGTGACAGCGGAGCGGCTGCGCTTCGACTTTGATACCAAGGTGGGTGACCCTGGACTTCCGTGTTCTTGGTCTCAGCCATACAGGCATTCTCTCCAGGGATTTTCTTTACAGTTCCCTTTTACAAGTTAGGGAAGATGACATGCAGGGGGAGAGTGGTGTGCCCAGACTGAGTTACCAGGAGGCCCTACCTCAGTTCTCCTTCCTTTGTTCGTACTTCTCAGGAGGCTTCTCCATAAGGTGACTGATTTACTTCCTCAGGGCCCTGTGACTGTGGAGCAGCTGCAGCAAGTGGAGCAAGTGGTCCAGGAGGTGATTAAACGAAATGAGGTTGTGCATATGGCTGAGGTTCCCCTCGTGCTGGCCAGAAGAGTTCAGGGACTCCGTGCATTGGATGAGGTATGACAGGATGGCAGCACACATCTTCACAAGCCTTCTCCTTAAGCAGGAACCATCTGGGTCACAAGAACATCTCTTGGGTCACAAGAGATGTTGATGCCACAGGTTTCTGCAGGGGAATTGGCTCCCAAAACTTGTGAAGGAGAATAGGACAGAGATGGGATCTCAGGAGCGCTGTGTTGTAAAACGCGGAGGCCGGTGATGCATTGGCTTTCTGCTCATTTCTTCGGACCAAAAGCTTGTAGTGTCACCCAATTGTTTCTTTCTCCCCATGGTGGCTGGTTGTGGGGGAGAGGCAGCGCTGCCCCTGATCCTGGGCCTCTCTAGAATAGGGGAAAAGGGAGGCAGAGACCTGAAGCCATGTAGTTAGTCTGTAAGTGCCCCTGAAGGACCGTGTTGTTAGCTGCTGACCTCTGTCTCCTCTGTCAGGGGTATCCAGATCCAGTGAGGATAGTGTCCCTGGGGGTCCCTGTGGAGACTGTGCTGACCCGCGACTCTGAGGCTGCATTGCAGACCTCTGTGGAACTCTGCTGTGGGACGTAAGTGATTTTTACTTGCAGTCAGAAGGTGGTTTTGGGGGCACTAGGGGCAGAGGTAGACACATTCTTGCAAGCTCCACTCCCTGTCCCTGTTCAACTAAGCTTCCTTGAGGGAAAGATCTTGTGAGGGCGATGTGGGCTAGTTACGAAGCTTTGGAGGTCCCAGGATGAGAAAGCTTCAGTGAAATGCAAAGCGTTTTTCCTTGCTTCGTAGTCTGAAACCAACCTGGAAGCCACAAGGCACCAGTAGTGTGGCAAAGTGGTGTGTGGCCTGTCACACCAGAGTTACAAGGCTTTGGTTTTGGGGTTGCAGAAGTGCTGGGGAGCCAGCAGGAGGCTGAGATGATTGTGAAACCCCTCTGATTATTTTAACTAATTATCTTCGCCCTCGTCTGCTTTTAACAGTAATGAGACTAGAAGAGTTAATCTTAGGGCAATGCTGCCAAAAATATAGGAACAAATTGGCCTTTGAGCAGATGCAGCTGAAAATGAGCAAGTTTCTAGTGATGAGATCATTCTGGTGTGGGAGTAGTGGGACCAGAAACTGCATGGGAGTAGTCATGATCAATCCTTGTGAAGCTGTCTGAAGTGATTGCTTGTGGTAACGGAACCTGAGACAGTGTTCCTGTTTTCGTGCCTGGTGTTGAGTAGCCAAGAAGGAAAAGGGAGGTTGGCATAACTACCCTGCAGCTGGAGTCTATTGGCCAGTCTGTGAGCTGCCCTGACAAGAGAGTGGTGGAGCTGGAGAGGAAAATTACTTTCTACAAGGTTCCGTGGCAGCTGAGTAGAAGAAAAAATCCCAATCTGCTCCACTGATGCAGGAGAGGAGAGGCAAGCAAGGCGGAACTTGGCTGTTAGGCATCATTTAACAGCAGCCTGCTGGGCAGGAATTGCAGAGGGTCCTCTGGGGTAGCCTCAACTCTGTCTCTGACCTGACAGGGTGCCATCAGGACTTTAGGGACGAGAAAGGATTGAAGCTATTGGGGTTGGGGAGAGGCTGCCAGACTTGAGAGTTGTCTAAAAGACAAGCAGGCTTCCTGATTTCTGTTCCCAGGGAGCAGGTTGTTTTCTTCCCTGTTCTCTGTTGACTTTGCAGGCACCTCCTACAGACAGGAGCTGTGGAAGATCTGGCCATCATCAGTGAGCGCCAGCTTGTTAAAGGGATCAGCCGTGTCATTGCCGTGACAGGGAGACAAGCCAAGCAGGTACGAAAGGAGGAACGGAGATTTCCGCCATGTCAGGGCAATGCTGGAAGGACCCAACTTCCTGCTAGATTTCTGCTTAGACAATTAGCTTCCCCTTGCTTCGGCTGGAGCCGCCCTGCTGTGTCTCATCCGGCTTCCTCTTTCACCCCTGAACACAGCTCTGATGCTGTACCTCACTATTCAGTCCACCCCTCCTAGTCTCCTGTCTACTTGACCTTCGTTCCTCCCCTCAGGACCCCTTTTCTAAGACAGGAACTCAAAATATCAGGAAGCCTCTGGACTATAAGTTTCAGTCCCCAGGTGGTATGCTTTGGTTTGACCTCCTGCCTATCACGGTTGGATTCACCCTTTATGGTTACAGGGCTCTAGCCTCATTCTTACAGCCCTTTTGCTTCTTTTCTTTAGTCTTCTTCCTGCTAAACCGTGCTTCTGGTCCAGCTGGGTCTGTATAAAAAGTAAGCAGCCTACTATTGTGTCCATGAGATCGCCCTGTCCTTTGAATATCTGGAAGTGTCACGGGGCCCGCAACCTTGCTCGCTTCTTCTAAGGCTGCAGTCAGAGGGGAGTGACTCGCTGTCAGCGGAGCTGGGGAGACCGAAGGCAAAGCCCACCCCTGCAGATCCGTTGCTCTGTGGCTGGCTGTCCCCTGTGCATCTGTGTCCCTAGCGAGGCTTGCTTGAGTGCGGAGGAGTGAAAAGCTGCAGGGCACATCTGCATGCTTTGCTGGAATGCTGACCTGGAGAGCCCTCGGGAGGAGCTGTGTGCCTCTTGTTAATCAGACAAGGGAGACTGCAGGCAGGAGGGAGTGACTTGAAGCAAGGGACGTGTATCCTAGCTAGGAAGAGCAGTCCTCCCTGTCTACAGCTTTTCTTACACGCTCTCTGCTGTCCTGGTCTGAAGTCTCACAAGACCGTCATGGGCACAAAGATCTGTCAGGGAGGAAATGCTCCAAACCATAAGGATTGGCACTGGTGAAAAAAGCTTATCTTAGCTTTTTTTTTTTTTAATGGTAGCATCGGTGTTGGGGGAAGCAGTAAGAAACGCACCAAGATCAGCTGAACTCAGGAAATACACTTGAACAGCTGATGAGGTTTCTTTTAGTTTTGGTGTTTCTTTTATTTCTTCAGTCAGTAGTTTCAAGAGCATGTTTGCTAATGGAAAAGAGCATGAAGAAGTAAATGAGGCTACCAAGTTTTTCCTCAGTGAAATACGGATTATTTACTGTGAGACGCTGAGGAAGCAACTACATGACAGCTTGGTCCCCTGGATGTCACAGTTGTCGGTTGTAGATCCAGAGAGGAACGCTCTATTTCAGAGTTTCTTGGGGATGGGCATTCTTAAAGCCTCTGTAGGTGTTTTCCCCCTGAATCCTGAGCAGAACTTCAGCGTCTGAGTCTGCTGCCTCCCCACTTCTTCTGTCCCTGATCATTCTTTCTGTTGTTGCATTTGAAGTGTTCTCTCTCTCTGTCCAGGCCCGGGAAGTAGGCCAGTGCTTGGCTATGGAAGTGGACTCTGTCTCCCTACGAATGAAGCAGAGGAGCACCTCTATTCCTGAGATGCAGAACGTCTCCAAAGAAGTGGGCCAGTTGACCAAAGTAAGGATTGCACTCCTTTACACAACAATCCCAGCATGGGCTCTGTGTGCTTGAGGCACATGACTTCTTCCCTACCAGGTTCATGTCTTACCACGGTCAGGGGTGTGTTGGTGCCACTTTGGTCACAAGGATTTCATCCAATACCTAGGTGCATCTGTTGCAGGTGACCTGCTGCCAGTGGGAATGTGAGAGAAAGCAGTGGGAGGGAGTGTGAAGCAGTGAAAAAGGATTCCCAGGCTTTCGATACCCAGCTGAAAAGAGGAGGCTGTACACCTGGCTGGCCTGATCACACAGGGGTATGGGAGGCCTGGGAAGAGTCTAGGCTCCAGCCTGACCTCCCAGAGAACTAGCAGTTTGTTTCTAGGTACGGTTCAGTGCCCTTACACAGCAAATTGTCTTGCAGGTGGTGTCCAGCACTGCAATGCCCCAGTGGCAAAGAAAAGAACTACAGACCGTCCTCAGAGCGCTACAGCGAACAGCCAACACTGCTGTCAAGAAGCTGGAGGTGCAGCAGGTACGGTGGCAGCAGCACACTGGCATATGCAGCTTTCTGCTAGCACTGTGTGGCATACACCAGTGGACCTGGTGTCTTTGTCACACTTCACAGCCTTAGGGTCCCGTTAGAAAGCAGAGGGAAGCAGGTACAGTCACACATGGTACAGCACAAGCCGTGTTGGATGAATTTCCCTGGCGTTACCAGGGCCATCACTTAAAATGCAGTGAATGACTGGGCTTTTGGCCTGCAGAATGCCTGTGTGTCTCTGCCTGTGAGATGGAGAACCTCGTACCAGCACTTTGGCACATGCCAACAGGCAGGTATCCCCTCCCTGTTTATACATGGGGAACATGAGATGACCCTGACAGTGGGCTTTGCAAGGTCATACAGTAAGTCAGTGGCAGGACAGAGCCTTTCTCCCAGCCTTATGGATATATGCTGTGGCTTCCCATTGCATTTGTGCTCTGCCAATTAACATTAAAATCTCTTTGGAAATGCTTATTGGTGACTTAATGTTCTCAGCAGTAACTTTCCTTTTCTTAAAGTAGGAGCATCTTGCCCCAGAAGCCTTCCTGAGAAATATGGTGATGTGTACGTGCAGGAGAGCAGCTGGGGACTGTCTATCCCACTTTTGACAGGGGTTCA